GCTGAAGTACTGTACATTTTGCAAAGTCAACATATCCAGTCAGACAATGATATGGAAGTTACATTGCAGGAATGCTTTAAGAGACTGGCCTAAATTTCTTCAGATATGGTATTGAAAAAGTATTGTAGTGCTGGGTCAAACTCAATGATTATACGGAAAATAGAAGATTGTTTGATGTGCATTGTAATATTGCTTTTGTTGCAATAAATATGTAATAAAAGAACATAAGTTGTCAAACTTTTCTTTTGATTCTCACTTGTAATATTTATCATCCAAAATATATATAAAGTTAATTAGAAAATTTTCATATAATAAGCATTTAAAACAAGGATAGTTTTGTGATATTTATTATATANTTTTTTTTTTAAATATTTAGATGATTTGTGCTTTTCAATGCCTTATTGCTGTCACATTCTTTCTTGGTGTAAATTGTTTTTATTCATTTGAAGATTTGGAAAAGTTAGTTCTGCAAGGTATGTTACATCTTAATATATATTCAAATAAAATTTCATTTCTTATATTTACAGATTTTTAATTATCAAATAGGCTATGAATTTTGATTTTATGTAGGGTGACCAGATGTCTAATTTCCAGGGACTGTCCCTGGTTTTTCGTGCTTTAGATATTTGATTGTAGAATCAATCTTTGAATGGAAGAATTCTATCAATACTCTAATATAATATCACCAATTTATAAATCAGTAAATAAATAAATTTTAGAAAGTAACCAAAGTTCAATCTAAAACTGATTGAAATTTGGTTACTAGATCCCATTTTCACTTATTCTGAATTTACAATACCAAACACTTTAAAAGCTAAAATATATATAGGATCATCCAAACGACAATTAACTGAGATATATTTTTTTACAATTCTTTCAAGAACAGTTAAGGCCAAATGATCTGCCAGATTATATATTGGGCTATATTATAGTTACTATTTAAACAGTTTTTATACAGTTTCTCATATAATTCTCCAAAAGAATTGTGTAAGAAACTGTATAACAACTGTTTAAATGAACAAGATGGTGTTTCAGAGGACTATATATAAAGAAGAAATTATGGAAAAAATATTTTTAGAAGATTATCTGGTGTAATTTAAAACAATGTTTAAAATTCATGTTTTAAATATATATAACCATTATCCAGCAAGAAGAATATTGGTGATTATTATATTACTAGAAATTCTCCCATCAAGCAAAATGGAATATTTTTAATGAGAAAGTAGATTGAAGAATTGAGAAGAGCTTCAAGTTGAGCTTGACTTTGTGGTGCTTTTTCTGTAGTCTTTGTCAAAGCCATTCTTACCCAATGTTGCTGAAGTCAGACTTCATGGCCTTCAGAGGTCTTGGTTGTTCTTATTCTTTTAGATCTAGAAGTTACCTGACCAATTTTACTTTTACGCTTTCCCCTAGGCATTTTCTTTTTCGACAAAATAGCAAGTCATTTTAATTCTACATTGATAATTTGGTCCAAAGATGAATTCTACATGAGTTAATTAGATGAGCAATAACACTCTAAATAATGGGCTTGTTAAATTGTTACTTCACATTGGATAATAGAATATCATGTGGCCACTATGAAAATAAATTTTTAAAGAAGTGACCTAATGCACCTATCATTTTTAAAGTTTAAATTTAATGAAGTTTAAAATATATCATTTTGTCAAAATATTTAAAAATGCAACTTAAGGGAAATTCCCTTGTTGAGCATGAACATCACATGGTCACTGACATCACTGCAACATAAGTGCGAACACTGATCCAAAATCGATAAAACATTTATTCTTTAACTAATATTTCCTCAAAATAAATAACCTGTACTTTCGGTCAGAACATAAAATGAATATAACCAAAATTTCATCTGGATTGGATTTCAGGAGTTAAAAAGCATTCATACACACACAAATGATGGCTTTTATATTAGATATTGGTTATATGTATAGTGTTTATCAACTTATACTTAATTTTGAGTAGTTGAATGTTTTAAATGTCAGTACCAAATATGTTGAAAAGTAAGACCTAGAATTTGTAACTTTTGCTAAAGAGAAGCTTCACCTTGAAATGCTAAAAAGTAGTGGCATACAGATTAAGTGTACAATAAAGGTTTTTTAAATATGAATTTGTATGGGTTTACTCCCTTTGATATAACAAGTCCTAGTCAAAGAGAAAGTCCAAGTAGACAAGTTATACTCAACATATAAAATAAAGGACTAGAAGCACATATCTTAATGATTTTTATGATTACAAAATTGAAAACTGATTTTAAAATTAATTTGGAAATTTCAAAGACATATGAGCTGTTCACAGATCAAATCAACTAACTCCATTTATAAATCCTTAATATAATCGTTATTATTTTCAAATTTTTCACGTAACTAATTATATATACAGTAGAACCTCAAAAACTCGGCTCTCGATAACCCGGCACTCCGTATAACTTGGCCACACCCTGGCAGGGCAAAAATATCCTTAGTTAATTAATTTTCATTATAGACAGCTTTATAAAAGTATAAAAGCTCTCATAAAATATTTTTCTGAGGTCTGTCTTATCAGGTAAATTACTCTACACAGTGTATTCATTAATTTTCATTTTCATGTAGTAAAGGCTTTATGCCTTCATAAAGGACGTACTTTTCCTTTCTTTAAGGGTATTTGGGCAGTTTATTCTCTGTTATATTCTCAAGTAAACAATACATACAAGTACAGTACAGTATTTTCTGAGGAAACACTCGTACTTATTTTT